ATATATATATATATATACACACTAGCTTATTTTATGGAGTATTTATATTAATAGAAAATGTTTATCAATAGTCGATAATGTCAGTGTTCTTCAATTATCTCGACTCCTCAAGGCTCTTTTTGTGAAGAAAATTTACCCAGGGTTGAATTGATGGACTTGGTGATGGAACCGGTGAAACGCAGCCGAAATAGTTTTGAACGCAACCGTTTCTGCAATTTAGTAAACTTTTGCATCAATTCACTGCAATAAAGAACAACCAACAGTGTCAACGACTGTTTTTTACTGCAGTTATCTTATTACATCATAGTACTCCCATGCATTCAGATAAAAAATGATTTGAGATGATGTTAGATAACTTTAGATACATGGCGCATATGACATGAGGTTTGTTTTATGATAAAAATGATACTTAATGATACTCGCAGAGTGGACATTTGGGACGCACTATGACACGTAATACAAGTCAATACAAATATAATTTTATCTGATTTTATCTTTCTTTTATCTTCCAGTAAGTAATAAAGGTAAAGACAATAATGAGTAACAAAGATTTGGTAACACAAATCGACATTTACGTCAATTTGTGTTATCAAATAGAAAATTCAGTGTCGCTAACATTGTACATACACTTCTTGAACTAGTGCAATCAGTGCAGGAACAGAAAAATACTTATGACCCGTTCGCTTGTTCGAATAGTCAGGTTGCTGCACAGTTCTTCAGGAAAACTGAGAATGGATCTGCTCGAAAACGCTAAGAAAAGTGCGGCTTACAAAGCCGTTGACGAATACGTTCATGTAAGTTGATTTACTTTAGTAATTGTGCGATTGATAATAGCTTTTCTCTTGAAGGTTATAATATATTCTAGCATATTGTCTTTCAGAATAATAGTGCCATTGGGATTGGCAGCGGATCCACTATAATTTACGCTGTTCAGAGACTTGGTATAGTTATATTTAATACTTTACATTTTATAATTGAAAATAATTTCATTGTTTCAATGAAATTCTTTTCAATATAAATATGATCATTATTATATTGTTATATAATTATTTTCAATGAAATAAAGTTTCATATTTCAAGTAATACAATTAATCAGTCAAGTTATTTTAACTTTGACTTAATATTTTCATATTTTTTTAAATAAGATTACAAACTATTTCTATTGTACTGTTCTTATTGGATTTTTTTATAAATGTGTGTCTATTAGAAGAACATGTATAGAAAAAATTTGAGACATTTTTTGCAATACATGAATTCAATTATACAGGATAATGCAACATTGCTGATGAAAAATTGTTTCCTTTATCTTTAATATTTTAAATGTTTTAAAAGATGTTTTATACAGTATATTTTATGTATTATTTTTTAAATTATTTTAATAAGACATATATAGCCAAATTTTAAGATTTAATCTTCTTGCTATTTACAAGAATGTGATCTCTTATAAATATTTTATTTTTAGCTGAACGTGTTGTAGAAGAAGAACTCAATGTAATTTGTGTGCCTACATCTTTTCAATCTCGTCAACTTATATTAGATAATCATCTTACCTTAGGCGACCTAGAAACTCATCCACATGTAATTTTTAAATATTCTTTCTCTATATTATATATTTCTTGTTATATATTTTTATTAACTACTTACTATATGGGTGTAGTTGTATTCTGCTATTGATGGAGCAGATGAAGTTGATAAAGACCTGAATCTCATTAAAGGTGGTGGAGGATGTTTGTTACAAGAAAAAGTTGTTGCTTCCTGTACCAATCGATTTGTTGTCATAGCAGACTACACGTAAGTATTATTGCATTTAATAATATTGATCTTGTTGATATATTAATTTGGTATGTTATTATATATTAACAACAAAATTTATAATACAAAGATTACACAATTTATTCTTATGTTTCTTTTTATATTTTAGAAAAAATTCAGTAAAGCTTGGTGAGAAGTATAAAAAGGGAATTCCTATTGAAGTAGTTCCTATGGCATATGTGCCAGTTAAACGTAAAATTGAGGATACTTATGGAGGAACTGCGAAAATTAGAATGGCCATCGCTAAAGCTGTAAATATATTTTCATTATTTAAATTCTCTAGATTATTATCACAAATTAAAAGTAATATAAATAACATACAGATAATTTATGTTACTTGTGCAGGGCCCGGTAATAACAGATAATGGTAATTTTATTCTGGATTGGCATTTTCCTGATGTTGATCCAAATTCTTGGAAAAGGATTAACATGGAACTATCCTCTATACCTGGAGTTGTAGAAACTGGTCTATTTACAGATATGGCTGAGACAGTTTTTTTTGGTATGCCAGATGGTACTGTACAGGAACGAAGCATATACGATTGAATGAAATTATTTTTGTTGAAATGTTGAATGCATGTTAAGGCGCGAATTTTATTACATTTTATTCTCAATTTCAAAAACGTTCTGATAACGCTGTTAAATCATGATTCTTGATAACCTTTCATTGCTATCTATTCTTGCCTTTTACTTTGTCCCACATGTATCATTCCAATTGCGTTATCATTATTTTTTTATACACTATACATTTTTATTTATATTTCTGTTATATGTGCAATTTGTATCAGGTCTTATAGGTTTCCTTTATTATCATTATGTAAACTTGTCATTATGTTCAATTAAAGTATATATTTCATATTTTAAGAATAAATTACTTCTCAACATATTTTGTAAATAAATAGTAAGAAAATGTTTACATGTGACATATACAATATATAACGTTTATCTTGAAATATGCATAAAGATATACAGATTATACAGATTATGTAGATATATGAGTTTGAAATATATATATTTTTATATAATATTTGTATTTAATTTTTCACACATATATTTATTTATAAATAAAGAAGAGAATAACACACTAAGTTGCACAGATTATAACACACACAAAAAATTTTATTTAGATGTTATTATATATTATTTTAAATAATATTATTTATGTATATACCATTTTTTAAATACTAATATTGAAAAAAGAATCAAAAGTACAATTATGTTTAATTTATATAACAAAAATTAAATAAATTATAAATTTAGAAAAAAATTTTAATGTAATTGTATTTGTTTAATAATTGTTAATACTTATATTAATTTGTATGATTAAAAGATTTCGTTTCGTATTGCAAAAAAAATTCGCCCGAACAGGGACTCGAACCCTGGACCCTCAGATTAAAAGTCTGATGCTCTACCGACTGAGCTATCCGGGCGATTGAGAAACGTATGGGTAAATATTGTACTGTATCGCATTCAATTAGAAATCTATATGTATGTATGTATTATGAAAAATTTGATTAATTCGAGCATTATGCATAAATTGGCCGATCAATTACATCGAATTTTTTATAACATGTATCATATACATATATTGTACATTTTAGAATGTATGTAGAATAATTAATATTGGATAAATATACATATAATGTAACATTTATTAATAAAACAGTTAAAAAATTTAATAATTTATAATAAATATACATATATAATGGATAATATGAGTTCTGTTTATGTCTCAAAATTGAAAAAAATTGATAATTTTATAAAAGATTAATTATTTATTTTTAAAATCAGCAATACTATTAAAATTCTAGAATTTTTATTCATATTATCATTTTTTTTTAGTATGATAGCTAAGAAAGGAGTATCCTAAATTTTTAAATATTACATGTTAATGTACATACTAAAGTATTATGTTATTCTTATTTAAAGAAAATTTAAATGAAGACTTATTTAAGCAATTATGTCTATTATCAACAAACACCTTTGAAAATCAAGTATGAAATATTTTTATATAAATTCTGAACTACTATAAATGTACCTATAATATTTTCTTTTATATGGGAAAGACAGCTATATATATGTACTTTGCTTTTCGCATGTATTAGACAGCTATGTGAAAGAGATAACTATATATATAGTTATTTTGCATAAGACGCATCTCTTATTCATAAGTGAACTATCATCCAGTAGCTATAAGCACTGTTTTACTATCTCACGTTAATTTAATAGCGTTTATATCTATCATAAGATTAAAAGGCGTCTTCATTTAAATAGACTGGTAATTTTATCACATTGTTTATCATTCGGCGTTTAATCACAATAATTATATACTCATCTTTTGATGACAGAAGTGTTTTTTGATAATCTAAAATAAAGAAATATTTATCAATATGTTTTTTTATTAATTATTCTTAATTATTCGGTTACATTTATGAAAATTCGGAAGAGGCAACTCTCAAGACAATTGTTTTATACTATAGTAAAAAGAGGCTTTTTAAAAATATATCTGCAATCAATATATTACGTAGAGATAGTAAAGAGAGATATAGTAAATTTTACTTGGAGGCCGCAAATGCAAAAAATTGTTTACTTCTTTTATTTTTTACGTATTAATTATGAATAAATTTTAATAATATCTCTTATTAAACATATCTATTATTGCTCGATTTGGACCAATATTCTTTTTATCTTGCTTTGTGCAAATTTACAAACGACAATATATATAATATATATAATATAATCACATAATATATAATTATTTATAATATGTATAAAATAAGACATTATATAATTACTAATTGATTTTTTAACTATTAAATATATATTAATAATTGCCAACATTTTTTAATTCAATAAATGGCAAAACACTCTTAAAAAATTGCCTTATTAGAAATCATTAGAATCAGAAAATAAATTTTTTTGTTATTTCATCAGCTTCTGTAAAAAATTTCAGAACCTTTGTTTGAAATGGTATAAGTTTTTTTATGTTACTAAAATAGTTAGTAAAATAATTATATTTTTTCAAATGCATTAATATTTTTTTGATAATTTTACCGGCGGTGAATGTGTTAAACAAAAGGAAAAGAGAGAAGAAAAATGTGACCAACCAATAGCCAACCAGGTTGAACGACTTAATCGTAACGCAGCGGGTTCTGATGTGAGAATGGTGTAAGTACTTAACTCCGACTGTGTTTCTTTCTATGATTTTTACACGTAGACTCTTATGCCAACCCGCTATACTTCATTTTCTGGCATTGATTTAATCGACATTAAATCTTTACCTACATAACTTCGATATTTTTCGACTTCTCTTTGCATTGTTCAGACTCTCGTTTGTGTGTAAATACGCGATAAATAATGTCCACGTGGAGCGCTAGAAGCAGGTATTTACGTTATCTTTCACGCATATAATTAAAAAAACGAAGCATTTGTTTTTATTGTTTGTTATACTATTGCGTCAAATGTGTTTTTTATCTTTGCACTTACGATTGTTTGCAAAATGTTTTGTTTGCACAATTTCTTATGGTAATTGTTCAAATTTATTTGAATAAAACACATCTAATTAGATTTGAAGATTAAAAATTAACGCTATAATTGTACCTAAATTTATGCTTAGGAAACTCAATATGTAATCTGCATTATAATATATTGTCAGAATAGACACGATATTGATTGGAGAAAGAAAAAAATTTTACTTGCATTAATACAAATTTTGTGCAAAGCATAGAAATTAAATGACGATTGAGTGACTAAATCAAAGGTAGAAAATAATTTCAAAAAGGACAATTTCTCGACAATATAGAATATTAGATATTTTGTGTGGAATGCGACTTTGAAATAATGATCGAAATTAGAGAATATTTTTTGAAATAAATATTTCCTTCCCACGTACTGATCTCGATGATCTATAGGTATACATATGAATTTTTATTTCGTGCTTATATGATGCTTTCGAAGTGTAATAAAAATTTTTACGAACTACACTACAATTTTTACGTAAAAACATATCAATTAAATCATCATAGTATTGCAATAGATTTGAAAATATCGTATATTGAATCGGTTTTAAATCTATAACCAGTTAGCACAATATTGTAACGAAGTACGAGAATTTCTCTCGCGAGCGGTATGCAATAAACTAGGGATACATTGTTACGTCAACATGCCATTCAGATCTCACCGTTAAATCCTGTGATCTATGACAACTTATGATCCGTGAATCTTAAGGGGCAACATGAGTTATTAAACCTGCTTAAGATGCATATTCCGCCAACAGTCACGGAATCGGAATACGACTATAATCTATTAGTGACAGTTACGCAAAAGTTGGAGCGTCTATACAAACGCACTTCTTGACGAAGAAATAACTTAATATCCTCCAGAAATAAATTTCATTGCCTGTTATAATTTTGTTTACAAATGTGAGAAAGTATTTTTAAAATATTCTAGAACAATGAACAAGAACATGATGACTAATAATTAGGCTGAAGATTTAATTCAATTTATGAATTAATTCAAATATCTTAAAGTTAAAATAAAGATTCAATTTGTTTGTATTAAATTTGTCATGTCAATAGATATAATGAGAGGGAATGAAAAAGAGAAAGAGAGAGAGAGAGAGAGAGAGAGAGAGAGAGAGAGAGAGAGAGAGAGATATTAGAATAATTTTTAAACTATTTTTGATGTATTAATAAATTTTCATGTATTAATAAAAAATAAAAAATCAGCCATATTAAATGTCCAAAAAAATATAATTTAATAATATAATTTAATAATAGTCCAAAA